CCCCTCCCCCCAGACCCTCCACCCAAGAAATCGGAGGGAAAAATCATAGAATCTCCCCAGCGGGCACGACTGAGACACCTGATCGAGAAAGGACTATTTCAAGGGCCGCTTCCGGTAGGAGAGAAAGTCCTGGCAATCCCGATCAAAAAGAATCTGGGCCGGTGGGAGATGGGTCTCTCGCCAGCGGAGGAATCCGACTACTCCTACTGCAGGGGGGCCCTTACCTTGCACGGATGGAGGTTAGAACAGGACGGGGAGGGACAGCGGGAATTCCGGATCAAAGATGCCAAAGACTTTATTGCATCCCACTATGAAGCAGGAGCAAAAGCTTTAATACGAGTGGGATCAGGCTCTTGCAAGATTGCAGACAATGATCTTTACATCCTCTTCGAAGGAGAAAAGGAGGCAGAACTCACATGGCTATCGCATAACGCTTTATTGGAGCTGCACCAACTCAAAATCAAACCAAGCCACATCTGGCCTGATACAGAAATTACCTCCGCCCTGTGTTCCATAATTCGGAAGAATATTATTAATGACGGGGTGGCATGGGACATCTACGTTTGGCATTATATGTAGATCCTATCAGTAGGAGGGAAACACACTACTGTTTGAAAAGATGGATTGGATACAAGCCTTATACGGCCACAACAAAGCTTGGCGCAGCACCCTCCATAACGCAGACCTGGATCTCAGATCCATTCACGTAAATGGCTTGGCTACCCTCTGCCCAAGCAAATCTCAAGCCATAAGAGACCTCCTTAGGGGGGTGGAGGGACGAAACTGGCCAGATGTAGTGTGTGTTCAGGAAACACACCTGCTGGATTCTCCACCCTAATCACAAAATCGTGATTAATTTACACTACACCACCTCGTCGTTCCATGTGCACTAGAGGCCGCCCTTGAAGCAGTCACACTGGAAACAAACACACCCTGGTTCCCCATTTGTGCGGTACCTGCTGGCAGCCATGCGATCCTGTAGGCCGACAACCGGCCAAAAGATGTCGGGCTGTGGTCCAGTGTTTGGGACTCGAGGGACCGGCCTGGGGCAGGGGTGAGATGCGAGCACGCGACCGCCGAGTTTTGAAATTTAAACTTTTGATCGGTGCAGAAAGGCACCCCCCAGGATCGATCATTGGCACAGCCTCCAAAGTGGACATCGGTCTGTGTGTACTCCGACACGCGCGTGTGTGCCGGACGGTGCAGTTTTGCTTCGCTGCGAGCTGTTTGCTGTGGTTTTGGCTTGCGGATACTGCCATGTCCGAGGCGGACATTGGTCTGTGTGTACGCTGACGCGTGTGTGTATGCTGCTTCACGAAGGACACAGAGTTTGCCGCCATCTCTCTGGAGGGCTCTGCATCACGCATTAATGCAACTTTGGCTGGGCTGCACTTGAGTTTCAAGACCTGGCACTTGGGATGGAAAATGTGAAAACCCAAAAGCCAATGTGTGTGGGGGGGGGGGGGGGGTGGAGGGCTTGGAATGACGATTTTTCGGGTCGCACTTGAACTCAAGTGGAGTGGAATGAGACACTCAGGGTCGGGAGGGAATGTGTTGTATTCCAGGGATGCGAGAACTGGATTTAAAACTGAAATCGTACTGAGCCCTAGTTACCCCTTTTATATATTTGGGTTCGTGCAGCATTTGCTCTATATCGTAATTGATCAATTAATGAGACTTGGCTGGAAAGTCTTCTTGCCTTTTCTCCGTTCTGCTAATTAAGTGAATATTATGTTGTATCAAGCAATTAATCCTTTTTTTTGTTTCCAGCAATTAGTCCTCTTTACATCTGGAAGAGCAATAAATGTTGCCTGGCTATCTGAGGTGGGGTTTGCATGCATGTACATTTTGGGACGCTGGAACTGTTTTCCAGAAGTGGGGATCCCCACCTATAAGAATGGATTGATCCTCAATCTTGGTAATGCTCCTTGTTTGTTTGTTTGTTTGTTTTTCCCTTTTTTCAACAACAAAGGGCAACGACTTCTTTTTCTTTAAAAAAAAAAAAAAAAGGGCGATGGCCTTGAGGTATTATCATCGGACTAACCAGCCCAGGTAAATTCTTTTCTTTTTTTTTTTTTTACTACTCTAAGTTCAGTAAAGGAGGTAAGCGAATTTTCACACGCAATTGTCAAGTCATTGGCTATCGCTCCTCCTTTCCAACGGATGGAGGGTGGGATTTCCAAGCCTCTAATGTTAGAGTTGTGTCTAATATTATCTAAGAGAACCTCCAGTTGTAACACAAAAAGGAGGGGGCCTAGGGGGCAGCCCTGTCGAAGAGAGCGAGTTAGTTTAAAAGATTCCGACAGTCTGCCATTCACTAGGACTACCGAAGTGGCATCCGTATACATGGCTTTGACGCCCTGCAAAAAGTAGGGACCGAAACCCATATGATTCAATGTCGTGAAAACAAACGACCATCCCACTTTATCGTAGGCCTTCTCCATATCAAGGAGAAGGACGGCGATTTCTTTCTTTTCCGAAGCGATGATCTCTAGAGCTTGCAGGGTGGTCAAAATGTTATCGAAAATTGTGCGTCCCTTAACAAAAGCCCAGGTAAATTCAATCTTCTGTCTAATCTGACATCGGGTGGCCTTACTGCCTTCAGGGAACCCCCACTGGGGGACACCGGGCTGTCAATCTTGTGTCTAATCTGACACGGGGTGCATTTTCAGCCCAGGATGGCCTTATTGCCTTCAATCTTGTGTCTAATCTGACACAATCTTGTGTCTAATCTGACACGGGGTGCCTTTTCAGCCCAGGATGGCCTTATTGCCTTCAGGGAAGCCCCAATGGGGGACACTGGACAGGGAACAGCCGGTAGAAGAGGGACCAATCATCATCTGAATGTCCAGTCGCTGTGCCTCCCTCCGTGATTACCCCTCCCTCCCCATGTGAACATCAGCAGAGACTTCTTTTTAATGCCAATTGGGGGAACCAACGGTCTATCTCTAGTTGGCGGGCGCCAAGCTTGCCCAGGAAGGTACATGACGCCAATGGGGATTGAACCCAAGACCTCCTCCTGAATGCCACTTGCGTGCCTTACCAACTGAGCTAGGCCTCCGGATAACGGCAACGGCTTTGCGATATCATTTTCTGAAGAGGAAAAAAAAAGGAAAAAGGAGGATATAATTGTCGAATAGACAGGCCCCAGGTAATTCAGAATTATGTGATTTCATTCATCCAGTTCCATCTCGATTCGAATTCAATTGTCTATTTCAAGACATAACGGCGCCCCTACTGCCCCTCATCTCTCCAACCTCTCTCTCTCTCTCTCTCTCTCTCTCTCTCTCTCTCTCTCTCTCACACACACACACACACACACACACACACACGATTCGCACAAATGGAATAAGAAAAGAGAAGAGACACACACGGAACACAAAGACAAAGACAAACACAAACACAAAGACAAAGACAAACACAAACACAAACACAAAGAATCTATTTGTGCTCGGAACGGCAGAAGCATGTTCTCAGCCGCGAGCTATTGGCCAACTCGTTATCGGTACAAACACAACAATCGCACATCTCCTTTACAATCGCCGAATTTCAGATCTACGAAATGGACAGATAAACTGTTACCTACTCCACAAATCAACCGATCAAGAAGACATACCGTATTTACAGACACAGACATAGCCATAGCCATACTCATCTTTTCTGTTTGTCTGTCTGGACTAAGGGCTTTCTCGAAGTTTTGGAAATAGCGTCCTTGCTTAGGCCAAGCCATCCCATCGAAAGCGATCGCCACTCACGTCGATCAGGGCTAAGAGGCAGGCCACGTGTCTGCATCTGCTGCCCCTGCCATCGACATAGAAAGGACAGGGAGTACCGAGCGAGCACGAGCGTCCGCGCGCAAGCGAGCGAACGAACGAGCGAGCGAGACAGAGCGAGAGAGGGAGGGAAGGAGGGAGGGAGGGAGGAAGGGAGGGCACGCGCGTGTGCGCGCGCGCGCGCGAGCGAGCGAGCGAGCGAGAGAGAGAGCGAGAGAGCGAGAGAGAGAGAGAGAGAGAGAGCATTTACAGTACGATCGTCGGTACGTTGAATTTGGACATGTTCGTCCTCGATCCGTCATCGAAACCATTGGTCTGATCTTCGGCTTCGGTCGTACATCGTGGCGAATGGCCGATCTTCAGCTCCTGCCACGTGGCAAAGTGCCGATCTTTGGCTTCTGCCACGTGGCGAATGGCCAATGGTGTTGCACGTGGCAAAGATCAGCAATTTACCACGTGGCGAATGACCGATCTCCCGCTCCTGCCACGTGGCAAATTGCCGATCTTCCGCTTCAGGGTCCTGCCACGTGGTAAAATGGCCAAGCTTCGGCTTCAGAGTCCTGCCACGTGGCAAATGGCTTCTTAGCGTGCGAAAAGCAGCAATTATATCACCGGTTCTTGTCGTCCCTTGATTGCGACGACGCGGCAGCACCATCGTCGCCGGTCCTGCCAGGTGGCAAAAGCCCTTTGATCGATGTGGTCCCCGCCATCTCCTTCTTCAACGCCTCCAGTTCTTCATCGACTGAGATGTTACCCTCCGTCAACAAAAATTGTGAGGCCACGTCATCCTCGCCCGCCGCCGCGGTCAATTCCCCAAGAGCTTCTGCCTCTGCCTCCATAGCCATCACCTTCGCCTCCATCTCCTCGAACATTGTCAGAGCGCTCCCGACCCCGACGTCGCTGCCCCCCAAGATCCCGGCGACTTGCCGCCCAAGCTTTGCCGACTTCGCGCGCGCTTTCAACGGCTCTTTTTTCGATTTCGCCTCCGCGATCCTCTTCTCCAGGGTGACCATTGATTCTCGGAGTTTCTTGATTGCCTCTCGTTGGCGTTCTATGTCCGATGTCCTGGCCGACGCGGTTTCGTCTATCTCCTTCTTCTTCCTCAATGCCGCCATAGCCAAAGCTTCATCGCCGTTCGACATAGCCAGCTTCGCCCGGCGGTGCCACTGCGCCGAACTGCTTTCTGCACCCGTGTGTACGTCTTCAAGACGCTTCAAGGACCCCATAACTTTCACGATTCCCTTCTTCATCTTAGACAGATCTTCCTCCATCTCCATCACGGTCTGATCAAGAACCTTCTCAGGATCTTCCATGTCATTCAACAGAGCATTCGTGTAAGATCGGATAACTCTGGCCATCCTGTCAAAGATGCTCATTCTAGCTCCCAACACTCCTCCTCCTCCTCCTCCTCCTCCTCCTTTCCTCTCCTTCGTTCCTTTCTTGCCATCGACGAATGGAAGATGAAGAAGAAGAGCACAACTCTCTGATTCCCGCCCTCCTACTCCATCTATGAAACTGCTTCTTCTTCTCATGAATCTGGTCCGAGCAGGTGGAGAGATCCGCCGTGATCGCGACTGCCATTCCCGTCGTCCGCCAGCATCCCCCCTGCGCCGCTGCTGCGCGTTCCCCCCGCACAGCTTCCATTGAATTGCGGCACATGGACCCGGCTTGCGCGCCACAACACTGCCATGTGTCGACCATTCGTCCGCAAGCCTCCTGCGCGCCAATCTCCCCCGCTTGTTTGGTTTCCCGCGAGTGTCGGAGAGGACGACAGCGTCCTTCGCGCGCCCTGAAGTGGCGGCGGCGGCACTTCTCCGCCGCCACGTCAACTGACAACGCCGGAGAGGTGCGCTTGCCTCGTGTCTCGCTGACGTGGCCCCGGCCAGCTGGCTGCTGCCACGTGTCTCTTCGACACGCACTGAGACCGGCAAATAGGACAACGATGATATCCTCCAGGCCATCAGCGCGGTCCCCGCGGACGCCGCCATTACCGTTGCCCTCCGCCTGCCTCTCTCATCCGAAGGCAAGTGGGGACCACAATCTCGGCGTCGAGTCTGTCTGACGGTCAGTCGGGATCTCAACCGGCCGCACGCCGGTGCTACTTTCACGGAAGTTTCACCTAAGGTCAGAGCGGCGGAGAAGCACTCCTTTTGTCTTCTAGCTACCAGTAGCCGCGGTGAGTTGCTCCCTTCCCCCGCCCTCTCCTCTGGACGAACCCCCGGTGCATCTCGCTCTGTGTTCTGTCGTCAGCTGCTCTGGGCACAAGCCAGCTCTCCCCTACACCTTCTTCCCCCGAATACAACGTACGGTCGGTATAGCTGTCTTTACCCCAAACACCTATAGTTACCGTATACGTTGTAGGGGCTCGCCACACACCCTTTCGAACCAACTCGCACTTTTTATGTTTCGAAAGGTGTCAGTCCTCAAGGGATTCGTCGAAAACAAAGGAATGGGAGGAAGGGGGGCTAAAGGGAGGTACCCAAGAGGAAGAGGGGGTCGAAGCAAAGGAACAGGGAGGGAAGGAGAGGGGCAGGATCAGTCGGAAATGAAGAGTTTAGGCTCTCAGGATATGGACATATCCTCTTCCTCCCACTTCATCGCTCCCTTGGTTCCTGTCCCCTTCCCCTCCCCCCGCCCCGGCCTCCCACTTGGGGACTGAGCCCCAGCCCATTCTGCACCCCCCCCGCGGTCATCCCTCCCCCAGAGGAGAAGGTGAACCAGGGGTGGGTAAGATCCATGCGTCCAGCTCACGAGATTCGACGAAAACAAAGGAATGGGAGGAAGGGGGGCTAAAGGGAGGTACCAGAGAGGAAGAGGGGGTCAAAGCAAATGAACAGGGAGGGAAGGAGGAGGGGCAGGACCAGTCGGGAATGAAGAGTTTAGGCTCTCAGGATATGGACATACCCTCCTCCTCCCACCTCATCTCTGACCCCCCCCTGGTTCCTGTCCCTCCCCCCCCCCCCCCCCCCCCGCCTCCCCGGGCCTCCCACACGGGGACTGAGCCCCAGCCCAATCTGCCCCCCCCCCCGGCGGTCATCCCTCCCCCAGAGGAGAAGGATGAACCAGGGGTGGGTAAGATCCATGCATCCAAGGGCGGCAGTTACAAACCAGGGTTCGCTGCTACTGTAACATTACCGACCTTTGGTGCGGCTAACACTGATCCTCCAGCCGGGCAGTGCAAGAAGAAGAAGGGTCAGAAGGGCGGCTCAAGATGTATCCCAGATCCCCACATGAATCTACCTTCATTGTCCCGGAACCAGGTTCCGGTCACTCCAAGAGGCTCAAGAATAATGAGGCAGTGGCAGTGCCGCAACAGAACTCCCTGGAATACGAAGGGGAATGCCAAAATCATTCTCCTACTCGTAAGAAAAGGCTACAGTCCCTCAAATAGACAAGGAAATCGTTGAGCTTTGCTGTGCCTATGAAGACAGTATCTAGAAAGGAAAAGAATGCCAGAAAAATATCACAACTTCTGATACCACTTATCTGTTCCAAAATGGACTCGGAGGCTGGGATCCTGGTTCAGAAAAATCAAAGCGGAAACAACAGCCTCCTGTCCATCCTGATCCAGTCCCAACCCGAGGACAATGAAATAATCAGTACAGTTAACTCAGAGGTCCTAAAGGGGTTAGGGGAGGTGAAAGCCCCCCTGCTATTCAGCGGGAGAAGCCATGCGATCTCAGCAAGCACGAAGGAAGTAACCCTGTTACATATTGCAGTATTGAGACTAAACTTGTGGTCCCCTGGCACAGACAATCCAGATGTACAACCTCTATGCTGGTTGGGCCTTTCCCCACTGCTGGCAGCGCCTGCAACCGAATTCGCGAAGTTATCAATAACACCTGGCCTCTCTGCCAGCCACATTGCAGACTGGCTTACGGGATCTGGGCTTCAAGATTCCCTGGTCAGTGAGGAAATTCAGAACAAACTTCACCCTTTTGACATTCCATGCTGTGCCTCCCTGACAGCCCTTGACCGCATCCAACTTAATAGCGGCAGTGACCTCAGTGATGGTCCTGCCAAACAGGATTAAAGTGGTTAGCTGGAATATCAGAGGGTTGGGAGAAACCTCCAACAGGGAAAAAAAAACAAGATTTAGAACCTGGGCACACAATGACAACCCACACATCATATGCCTGCAAGAAACGAAGCTGAACTCAGAAAAAATAACGAACAACAACAGATGGTGGTCTGGCCCCGAATTCTGAGCACCAGCGGACAAAACAAAGGGAGGGGTGGCTATCCTAATCCATAAGGACCTAGAGGTTGAGGTTCTTGACTCCTATCATGACCCTGGGGGTAGATGGATCTGGGTAAAGCTAGCAGTGGGTGACGAGGATTGCGCCATCATGAGTATATACACCCCGGTGGAATACGCTGAAAGAATTATTTTTTTTGCCACACTGTCAGCTTTCATCCCAGGCGTGGAAAATTTAATCATAGCAGGTGATTGGAATGCCAACCTCAACCCGGGCCTAGACTCCCCTCATCCAACCCCCATCCGCGCTGACGCCACAATGCTATCCTCACTTATGGAAGCACAATGCATGACAGACGTCTACCGAATACTTAACCCCGATTCTCCGGGTCATACGTGGTATGGACCCAAGCCAACCCCCCCAATCTCCCCTCCCAGCAAGAGATTGGATCTGATTTTGGCAATAGGGGTGTTGTGGGACCGCTGCTCCTGGTGCGATATTCTGAACGAACACTTGTCAGGCCACTACCCCGTGGCTATGGAAGTGTTAGCCAAAGAACAGTTCGAAAGGGTCAGACCCCCTTTCCAACTCAACACATCCATCCTCAAGGATCCAGGAATTCCGAACTGGGTCAAGGACCAAATGAAGAAATGGATGGATGCTAAGGACCTATTCAATAATGAACAAGCCTGGACAGAAACAGGCATAGGCATTCTCACGGCTGCCCTCAAGACGTTTTCAAGAAGGAAGGCTGTGAATAGAAACTGGATTGAAAATTGCACCAAGAAAGCAATAATTGAAGCTAAAAACAACATGGGAAAGGACCCCTTCTCAGACCACTACTGGTCCAAGAAACGTCTAGAAAGTATAGTGGCCCTAGAAGCACTAGAACTTAAAAAACAAAAGGACTGGCTCAACTGGCTAAAGATCAGAGGACTGGTAGGCTTTGACAGGATGACCAAGGAGACTTCTAGATCCCTCATCCTTAAACAAGCCAAGCCACCCCTGAGAGAATTATGCCATCCCTTCAATCATCAAGAACCCTTGGCATCCAGCATTGAGGAGATGTGTAAATATGTCAAGGTTTACTTTATGGACATTGTCTCCACTAGGAGACCGCAAGATGGGTATGACAAAGATCTCTCGACAATATCGGAATTTTGGAGTGGTATCCAGACATCAGTCCCCCCTTGCTCCAGAGACTCACTAGAGCAACCTTTCACCTCACAGAAACTCCTGCAGGCAGCTAAGAAAATGGCAACAGGAAAATGTCCAGGCATTGACGGTCTGCCCATTGAGCTGTACCTTAGTGTCTGGGAAGCCTTCGCCCCTGTTCTGTGCCAAATTTTCAATGGCACACTCACCTCTGGAGAGCTACCTAAGGGTTGGCTAGTAGGAGTGATATCTCTCCTCTACAAAAAAGGGGATAAGAGGGAAGTGAGAAACTTTCGGCCTATCTCGGTACTCAATGTTGCGTATAAAATTATGGCCAAGGCCCTAGCAATGAGGTTAGCAGATGCCCTACTGGACCTGATAGGCATAGAACAAGGGGCATTCGTCAAGGGCAGATCCATATTTGACAATATTCTATCAACCATCCAAGCATTAGAGGTGTTGGCCGAAGAACAGCTAAACGTGGCGGTACTCCTCTTAGATATGGAAAAGGCCTACGACAAAGTGGGGTGGGCCTTTGTTTTCACCTCCTTGACTAAAATGGGCTTTGGGAAAAACTTCTTCACTTGGGTAAAGGCCATGTACACAGAGGCCACATCAGTGGTAATAGTAAATGGACGCCTCTCCCCTAGCTTCCCACTGTCGCGTTCCCTCAGACAAGGGTGCCCTCTAGCCCCCCTATTATTCGTACTACAACTAGAGGTCCTGATGCACAACATCCGCAACAATGACGCCATAGCAGGACTCAACATCCCTCATTCCATACAATGGAAAGGGGGCGCACTAGCAGACGACCTCACCATCGCCTGCGCCAACAAGCCTTCTTCCTTCCACGCCCTGAGGAACGTCCTTAACGAGTACTGTCACTTGTCGGAAGCCTCCATCAATTGGGAGAAGTCCGCCTTCCTACTCCCAGACCCCTTTGAGTTATGTGTGGATTGGGGCCTCAAAAAAGTCTCATCGAATAGCTCAGACAGATTCCTTGGAGTCCAGATCTCCCTTTCCAACTGTTCGGCCACGCAAGACACCATATTGGTGGAAAAAGTTACAGCGCGGATCATGGGGTGGGTTAGGAATTTCATATTATCCCTGTTCGATAGGGCCTTAGTGATATCGACAGCGGCGCTTTCCATACTGTAGTTCCCACTGACGGTCCACCTACTAGGCGAGGAAGCGTACCGCAGGATCAAATATGTGGCGGCAAGATATATCTGGAAACCCGTTGCAACAGACATACAAGGCTACTTGAGCAAGGTAGTATGGGACTCAATCTGTCTCCCAAGAGAACAGGGTGGGCTAGGCATACTAGATCTGAAACATCAAAACCTGGCCCTGCTGGCCAAAAAGCCAGTACTAGCGATGCAAGACTCCAAGCTAAAATATTGGAAAGCATTTGCGGAATTCATCTTAATGAGGGAGTGGAACCTGTCCCACCCGTCACACGTATGGCTATGTTTTTTTATCCAGTCCTTTTGTAACAGACGAATTAAGTCCCCCACGTGGGGGAATATTTTAACAGCATGAAACAAAGTACAACCCACTAGGCTAACTGAACCGAGTACCAAAACGCAGATCTTGAACCAGATTCTATTCGAAAACGACCTGATTAGGCTCCCGGACACCTCACAACTTAAAGTGCATACGAGCCCGGGTTCATTCGGTAAAGCATGGAGCGAAAGAGGCATTATTCAACTGAAGAATATATGGGATATGCAGTCCAACGACTGGATCTCCTTAGAGGAGTTGAGAGCAAGACTCCCCAGAGTTCACAATTTGGCACAGAACTTCGCAAAAGTACAGGCTGCGGTGCCTGCACACTGGACTGCTGCACTGCAACCCGCCTCGGAGTGGGCCCCAGGCACTTGGCTTCTAGATCCAGGGGAATAAGACATAATATGGAAAATACTGGGTCCAGGACCAGGGTCCGAGATCAGAGCCCAAA